TTTTGTTCATGTTTTCGTGCTCATATATTTGTAGTATAACATCATGTCATAAGGTTGTGGTGTAAGGTTGATAATGATCGAATGAAGATCGAAAATTTCCATTAAAATTGAAATAGATTTTCAATATAACTACATTACACTTACTTATTTTTCATTTAAATTAAAAATCTCAAAATTATTATTATTTTTCATAAATAGACATAAGATTTCAGTAATAATTATTTCTTTTTTATGAGAGATTTCATTAAAGATTGAATAGATTGCATCAAGAAGACCCAGAGTGAGGGTGTGATTATCTTTTTTTTCGATCCACACCCACACTCACACCCTCAAGAAATTGTCGTGCAGCATTTTGTCACTGTTTGAAAACAATCAATAATAAGAAAGTAGAGCAACACAAATACTGTCCAAAAACAAATGATACCTGGTGTTTTTATCATCAAATGAAATTACAACCAATTAATAATAACCCAGCATTAATAAGCAAAACAAAAATCAAAACTATCTTGATCTAATTTTTCATGAAGTCTCAAAACCGATGACTGTTAAATTAAGAGCCAAAGAACTGTCACGTCGTTGCTTACGTGAGATTACACAAAATTCAAATGAATCGCTAAATTCAGCTGTTTGGTAAATATATCCATTCATTTTCTCTACAACATTTTCTTTGTACATTATTATTTCTCTTTTTTTCTGTTACAGGAGTACGTTAACTAAATCAAAGCATCATGGATTTCGTGCTCTGCGTGGTTTAACTGAGGTTGTGTGTGCTTATCTTTATTTTCGATCTACACCCATACTCTCATCCTCGTAAAATAAATTATAATTCTCATTAATTCCACAATTTCAATCAATTGATCATTTAATATCATTGTATCTTTCTACATTTTTTTAGATAAAACAGTGATACAAGAGACAAGAAAATACTTGTCACTATAAAACGTCTTATACAAAATATAATTAACGTGCTACAACTAAGAATATCTAATTTAATAATCATTTCCGTATAAGTTTATTGTTTATAGCAACATTCAAGATTAAATATGAAGCAAATGAGAAAAATAAATAAATCATACATATACATGTATAGACTTCACGAAGCTAGACACACAATGAAGCTGAGTAAAAGATATAACAAAAGCAGACTTGTAGTTAATTGATAAATAAAAACAGTTCAAATGAGCCCCATTGTGTAATAAAACTATTGTTGTTGAAGAACTCCATCAACACAACAAGTACATGTATTGAATAAAATAAGTATATTATTATTTGTTTCATCCACAACCGCAAGATCTAATTTTCTGTCATTGTTGAAGTCTCTTGCAATAAGTTCTGTCGGTGTGCTATCGGGGCCCGTGGAAAACGTCGATGATGGGAAAAATGTTCCATCACCGGACCCAAGAAAAATACCAAAATTATGCAAATACTTATTGGTGACAATCAGATCTATCTGACCATCATTATTAAAATCCGCTGCTACTATCGTAGTTGGATGACTGTATGTTCCAGTAAAATATGTTATTTTTTGACTAAATGTTTCATTGCTATTCTGAAGAAAAACGCCTATATTACTCTTATCTGTATTCGCAACAGCCAAATCCAAGCGATTATCATTATTGAAGTCAGACAAAGTAAATGAATTTGGATTAGAATACTGTCCAGTGGAAAATTCGGTAGATAATCTGAAATCTCCACGACCATCATTCAATAGAACTTTTATATTCGCATCATAACTGTCCAAGACAACCAGATCAAGTTGATCATCATCATTGAAATGGCCAGTCATAATCATGTCTGTAGATACGATATCAGCTGCAACCACCAATGATGCACTAAAAGTACCTGTACCATCACCAAACTTTACACACAAACCGTCACCACCAATAATGAGATCTAAATTACCATCACCATTAAAATCAACAGTAACAGCAGTTTTTCCACCAAATATAGGTCTTGTTGACGATGTCATTCGAGTCTGAAAAGTTTCATCGTCATTACTAAGAAAGATACTCATCATGTAACCTGTATAATGAATGACAACGATATCTGCATGGCCATCGTTATTAAAATCTTCAACAACAATCCATTGTGGGTCATCTTGTTGTTCGAATGAATAAAGTATTTGCACTCTAAAACTTTCATCGTTATTATTCAATAATATTGCCATAGTGTCAGGTCCTGGATTAACAAAAGGAATATCTAAATAGCCATTGTTATCGAAATCACCTGCCGCAAGATGAGATCCATAAGTATTACCATTAGTCGGGTACGTTGATGATAATTGAAATGTCACTTGACAAAGTGATTCTAAGAAGATTGAAATGGAAACAATCAATCAAATTGATTAAAAAATATTATGTATGTAAATTATTTATGTATATAAACATTGAAAACAATCAAACAAAAGTTTGTTTGTATAATAAAAAAACCAGGGTGTAGGTATTGTTAAAGAAGAGACAGCTACATCTACCCACATCCTCAATTTGCTCAAGTCTTATAATAGTTATTCTCGTACAAAATACAATGGTTAAGGGTTTTCAAATGCACGATCACTATACAAACCTGGCGTTGATGAAATGATCATACTGGGTGTTGTGATCATTGTACTCACTGTTGATGGTACTAGAATAAAAACAAAACAAATGTTATATTATTATACTGATATGTTTATATATAAGCAATACTATCTTTTATGATATAAAACTTTGTTCTGTACTCTTTGTAACAAACTATCATGCGAAACACTACTGACAAGATTGCAATACGGAAAAGTCAACAATTCAAATTAGTTCACTACAATGTCGTTATGGAAAATGCGATAATATATCCTTTGCATAAAATGAATTTGCATTCGTTTCTACATCTATAATTTCTCTCTATCAGACAAACACAAACGATAATTATACTTGTAAATATTGTATCAATTCGTTTCGCCAAAAGATTCAAGTAAATAGACACAATGACTAAAGCAATTATCATAACTACGAATAGTATAATCCCCAAGATGAAAAACCGATTTGTTCTCGAAGAAAATTGCATCCTACAAATAGAAATAATGAACAGATTATAGTAATGATTAACAAAATAATCAAATACGTATGTAATGAACTTGTAGGTTGTTCATCTGAATGTACAACGATATTGTGAACATTAGTTGTTTGTTGTATAGTAACAGTGTTTTCAACAGTCGTTACAGTGATTGATAAATCGGATTGAACAATATTTCTTCGTTTTTTCAAATATCGATACATTTTACTGAACAACACAACTAATTTAGGACATATCCATTTGAAAATGAATGTTAATCCACCATAGAGGCCAATTAACAAAGTTATCGTATAGATTAAACTATATTGTTGTTTAAAAGAATGCGAACATGAAGAGGGTGAACATTTGGCAAAATATGCAGGATAACTTATATTTGTCATCCAATCCTCTATAAAAAGATCATTGATAAGCTCCATTACTGTTGAATTGATCAAGAATCGACTATTGTTAATGGAAAGTGATGAATAATTAATGATGTTTATTGAATTGTTCGCAGCAATAGTATACTCTTGAATACGATTGATACACAATGAATCATAGAAACATTCTAATGTCGAACCTAATAATGCTTCACTTGGTGTACAACCCATTTTCAAACCTTTAATTGGTATAAAAACAGATCCATTTTGTGAAAAAAATCCTGCTTGAGTATTGCATGTCATATCTAATGCACACGAACAATTATTGTCATATGTTAATGCATAAGTTATTGCAGAAGAAGAATTGGCATTAAGCCATGGAACGATAAAGCGAAAATTAGTTCCATAAGTTGAAATGATAGGTGTAGCATGACTGGCTGTTCGAAGGAGAAAAAGACGATTTTGAAAGTTAACAGGAGCACTTAATCGAGTTTGATCCACAAGTAATTCAATATGCATATCTAGTTCATGAGATGATAGGAGTTCATTAGTCAACAGAAACGAAGAAAGAAATTGATCAATTGTATTATTCATAGAATTTGTGGCTAGATCACATAAATGAGAAAGAAATTGAAGATGAGATGAAACAAAACGACGATAATCTTTGATAAGATAAACAGAAAGATCAGGAACAAGACTTTTAGTAATATTGGTTTGCCATTGTCGTGAAGTAAATACACTTGAACATATCTATGATAAATACGATACAAAAAACTTTAGATAAATTTCTTCGTTTTATTTTACTCGAATTCGAAATTAAAATCAACAAAAACAAATTCTGAAGCTACTAATTTTCTTAATGATAAACTACTTTAAGAAGGTATAACATGTGTTGTCCACAGATTTTATATTAAAAAGGATTTTGAATGTGACTTTCTACTCACTTGATGATAAACAGGTTCAATTTTGATGAAATGATCATACACTGATGAAATAGATGAGCAGCGACAATGCAAACTGTCACTGTAAGTTTGTAATAGGTTGTTGTAATCGTTAATTGTGGGTTTGTCAAAAATTTTTGTTATTGTTTGTGGTTGAGTGACACTGTAAGCAGCTAGAATGATCATACTTGTGATGAGAAATACTATATAGAGACGCGTTGCTGTTTGACCAAAAAACTTCGCTTTTTGTCGATCGATACGGCTTCCAAATGCTCGTAGAGGAAAGATGTTTAGATTGATTAATGTATTGTACAACAATTTGATCATATTGCACAGAATTGCTTGGAGTTGGCGAATAAATTTCGGACGAACTATGAAATAAAATGAAAAGAGATGAAATATGTTCACATTTACATATTCAAGATCTGAAAAACAATTACCTTGTGATTGTTGTTTTGGCTGCCCTGGAGCTCTTTGTCTTTTCATACGAACAATAATTTTTATCAACAACGGTGTTATTAACCGTAGAGCAGCGGAAAGACCACCGATCGATGACATTAGTAATAGAACTGTTCCAATAAAACTACTCGTACGTGTTACTTGAGAGTAAGTACATTTGATCGGCGCACAGGTTTCATAATATCGATCAAATGCAAATGATGAATTCCACTGTTCAATCATTAATTCTTTCAATATCGTTTCGATTGATGTATTTGGAGGAAAACGACTCGCTTCTGGATCATAAACAAGTAACTTGGCATTTACTTTCTTGAGGCCTGTATCAAATTGATCCAATGTAAAGTTTATATATTTATAACTTAAAGCCAGACAAGAATCTGAATAGTAGCATTCGAGTGTCGACAGGAGTACAGAATCAAAATTGAAGCAACCAATAACTTGTCCCGGAACCTCATTAAACGATGTGGTAGGGTTCCTAAATATTTTATTAAAAAAATATCGAAAGAAAATGACGTGGAGAAAAGGAGGACGAAGAATAATCACCAAAGATAAAAATATTAATCATGTAATATTTCTAATAAAGTGTAGAATATGATGTGACCTGAATACCAGTATTTTTACTAAGAACAACACTTTCATCATCGTCTATATTCACATTCACAAGATGCTGCCACTGTGCTATGAGTATTTCTGACTAATATTATTTAACATTATGTTTCATCCATTTGACCTTTTCTTCTTTCAGATTTATTTTTCACTGCATATCTTTCGACCTTATTTTACGACATTTTATCTTTTAATACATACCAAATATACATTTGATCTATAGGATCAACCACTGATGTTTGACAATAAGGATCAGTAGCACAGATACAATCCACTATCTTCGTTTTCATGTTTACTGGACCCGTGAGATTAAATAGTAACTAAATAAAGCAACCAAATCATGTAAAATCGCCTTAAAAATGTGAATAGTACGTATAATACTGATCTTTCATTCATACGAAGCATTACAAGGAGATAGAAAAATCAATTTTGAATATGAGTGCTAATATTTAAATCCACACCTAAACTCTCGTGATGACTTGTTAAAAAGATTTGTACAATAAACTATTATTTTTCATTCGATCTTTCGTTTTCACACTTAATCCAGGAAGTATATTCGTACGTATTTTGCTATCATATCACAATATAAATAGAAAATGGCAAAGAAAACATGACAATTTGTTATATTTCAGTGTTCTCAAAATATCAAATTAAATATTATAAACAGAACTAATATAGTACCAGATTTTGATCTGAAATCAAGTTTATTGATTCTCATCTCATTGGGACATAATATATGTTTACTTTGAAGTGTAAAATCAAACTGTATTCGTTATATCGATACGTACCTCATAGAACTGTTTGTTGACTGCCTGATCTTGAGTAGCTGCAACGACTAGGAGAGCGTTGTCGCTTAGTGTGTAGGGCTGATCTACCTGAATGAGAAGTTGAATCGTGTTAATGAGAAGATCAAAGTTTATTATAAGTGTTTGTTTAAATTGATTGAGAGTGGTATTTAATTGAATATTAAAATCATCTTCTTTGATCACATCGAGTGTAACCAGTTTTTGTATACCAAAGGTTTTGATAGCATGAGTTACAGTTTCATTAGTTAATCGACAAAGAGTAGACAACAAGCGAAAATGTCGAGAACTGAAACCACGCCAAGCATACGCACGAACACCATTGAATCTCAAATCAATCCCTAACATTGAATGAATCCAATCTTCAGAGATAAAATCACTTGAACATAATTGGTGAAAAGTTGGTGTGAAGGTCATCAATGTTTTATAAGGTATTGCTATGTTTGAGCAAGGACATTGAAGCTGATTAGAATGCAGATTTTGTAGACTTGTGTATGTTGCCAACGAAGGATTCGGTACGTTTACCGTAATCGTTTCAGTATTCAATGATGTGTATAGTAGTAAAATGCATATGAGAGCTAAAATAATATAAAAAGAATAGATGAAAGTATGAAAACGATAACATAAGGACAAACATTTGATAAGTAAAACTATGATATGTACGAGTACAAATATTTTTATTTAATGAATTGATTTTGTACTTTACTTAAACACTTTTTATGTAAGTACATATATACTTAACGAGAGAACATACCCAACTGTCGAACGCCATTCCAGCCCATATTTTGGCTACAGATAGGATTCAGTGAGACTAAGAAAACGGTAAAGGGTTCGTGCCCATAGCGTGTTCCTGATGAGATATGAAGTTTTTAGTGATTTTTTGCTATAGCATCCCACTTTTACACTAAAACTATACTTTTGAATTATGCCTTGAAACTTTGCCCATATAAAGGCTTCACCAAGACTAGCTTGCATAAAAACTATTTGGAAATTTTGAACAAAGCCTCTCCGAGATACAGAACTAGCGAAACACAGACCCTTTTTCATAGATAGTATATGACATGCATTTTTTGAAACCTTCGTATCTCGGAGAGACCTCGCTCAAAAATTTCTGAAATTTTTAATGCAAGCTAGTCTAGTTGAGGCCTTTATGTGCGCAAAGTTTCAAGGCAAAAACTCGAAAGTATAGTTTTCACGCGAATGTGGGATGCTGTAGTAAAAATTCATTAAAAACTTCATATCTCATCAGGAATACGCCATGGCCACGAATCGTCTTACCGTTTTCATATTTTTACTGAGTCCTACTTGTAGCCAAAATGTACGCTTGAATAGCGTCCGACAGTTAGGTTTGTTCCTTCGTAAGTATGCATTTATTAATAAGCTCCAATAGACTGTACTCATACATTTGAGAAATCGTTGATAATTCTATTTATATAAAAGGATACATATAGGGTGTGGGTGTCTCTTCTTTAACAACACCCACACCCATATCCCATCCCATGCGGAGTCCTAGTCTGCTCATACTATCAGAAAGTGATTATATACAATAATAGAAGTTCTGAAAAGATAAATATGCTCTTACTTCCAAGCAAAATCAAATATATGCGTGTGGTGATCCGTTGAATTTTAAGGTCAGCTGCTGTTCGATTATTAATTGATTTGAACATATTTAAATATCGTATGTATTTGATAAACTTGCCAATGTTTGTCATAAGATGCACTAGAGATAGAAAATAATCACATATAGGATAGAATTTGTTCGCAACTATGAGAAATTACTTAGATTACAAATAACATTTGGGGAACATAACTTTATTTTTGAGAATATATTGATTAGTAAAGGTGCCAATAAACGAAGCAGAATAGTAAGACCACCATAAAAACCAAGTAGAAGAGTTATTGTATAAGAAATATTCATATGATTGATCTCAGTGTATGTGCACGTAGTCGGAGCACATTCAGCAAAATATTGTGAATAATTGATTGATGTTGACCATTTTTCCACAAATAATTCAGCCAAAAGATTTTGTAAAGAAATATCTCGTCGATTTAAAGTTGAAAGACCATCGGACCACGTGAAGTTGGTCTGATTGAGATTGGGAAAGTAATCAATAAAGCTATCGAGACAAGTAACATTGTATAAGCAATCCAATGTGCTTGCGAGTACAGCATCGATTACATTACATCCGCCAAAGAATCCATCAACTGTTGCAGAAGGAATTGGTTCAAATCTTGGACGATTAATAGGCCAAATCATATAATTAATAGCACTGTCGAATGGTGTGTACAAATAGAATCCAGCTGGAGTGATAGGGTTTTTTGCATAGCAAGACGAAATAGATAATTGATTGTTATGAGTCACGTTGTTGTCCCAGTAATAAGTATAGTCAGCATACATCGATTTGAATCTTCCTATCTCCGCGGTCACTGTAACAAATATATTGGTTTGGAGGGCAGAGATTATCGAATTTTGTTGAGTTGTTATTTGAAGAAGACGCAGTGTTGTAGTATCTTCAACAGGTGCGCTTGCCTTGATGACGTCGATATCGAGCATAATGCGAGAATGAACTTCTTCTTCTTGCAAGAGTTGAAAGTTAACAAGCTGTTTATTATCAAAATCAGCTAGAAGTTGAGACACTTTCTCTTGACAAATCAAACAAAATGCAGCAAGAAACTCGAACTAAAATAATAAAAGCATCTTGAGGGTGCGGATGTTAGTGAAGAATCAATATCCATCTGCAAATCTGCAGATGATCAAATGTTACTCTCACTTTTTACATTATCAGATATATTTTTCATCCAAAAGATTTACTCACTTGAGAACCAGCAGTTTTTCGAAAATCCATTACTAAGAATGCACTGGCATATGGTGAATAAAGTGCTTCAATCCATTCTTTACTGACAAAAACACTTGAACATACTGGATGAAATGATATTGTATTTGTGACGAAACTTTTGTATGGTATGTTAATTGATGAGCATGAACAAGAAAGTGTTTCAGCATGATCACGATATAGTTGATTGAAAAGTAATGGAGTAATGTTTGATATGGATATCTGTTGAGTTGGTGGAATGATAACAACAATGAAAGTTACAATATATACGGTCACTATAAATAAGAAACAAAATAAAAAAAGATATACTATATTATTTTAATGTCATACTTACTGATGAGAAGAGGAACATACAATCGAGTAGCATATAGTTGATGTTTAAGAATTATTCTTGGATCTTTTCTTGTACTGTTTTCGCCGTCATCATCATAATCATTTTCTTCAGGTATAAAAAGATTGTAGTAATAAATATACTCACGAAACCAACGAATCAGTTCTTTAATATTCATTATCAAGATTAGATAAGCAATTGATTTCTCTATAGGTGTATATCTTCTATACCTCTTGTCAGATATTTATGTTATTTGAAATAATCAAATATTGAAATCAGATTCACTATATAAATATCTAGAATATAATGATCAAGAATAGAAAAAAGTAAATTATATTATTCTAATAGATTTTCATCTATTTGAAATGTATATTTGTCACTCATATTCTATCAGAAAATTATTATTAACAAATTCAATCTTACGGAGTAAAAACAACAAATATTATGCAAACATTTTAAAAGACGTTAGAGAAAAAGAAACAGAATACTCAGTGTAAATGAGTTTTCTTAACACTTCAAATAAGACATGATATAGAAATTACTTTTTTTCATAAGTAATTATTAAATAATAACAAGAAATAAATATGTAATTAATGAATATTTTATGAAGCGAAACAAAGAGCTTTTTGAAAAACTAATATAAAATATCCCTAGAATGATAATAGGAAAAAAAATATTAACAGATCGTAGAGTATAAATGAAAATATGTATTCGAGTAATTTGATTTTATGATAAATTCAAACGTTATATTACATGGATATCTGGAAAAAAAACATCTAAGCAATTCAGAAATCATGTTATATAGTCATTTAGATTTAAAGAAGTTTAGAAGTAAAGAGGTATAGGAATTTGTTATAGAGATCTAGATGTATACTTCTATACCTCTACAGTGATAATGTTCATTGATATTAATTTTTGACAAATTAATTTGTTCTCTCGACTACCAGAAGGGTACTACGGAAAAAATGGAAATGCATTTGTATGTGAGCGTGATTGAGAGATGGATATAGTATCCACATCTGCACCCACCCGACATTCACACCCAGCTTATTGACAAGGATTTTCACATAAACAAAGTTCTACTTATGACGTGAATAGTTTGCAAGTTATTGCACATATAAAAAATACATTACCGAATGAGTTAATTGAGCGTCTTTTTATATAATTTTATCATTCAAAATAAGTGAAAAGACTTATCTCTCCTATATGACTTATTCTGTTTGTGTTTCACTACGAATTGAAGTAGGAGTTGTTTTCTTTGTTTGCCAAAACTTTTTTCAAAAAGTACTTATTTACATATAGCGAGATATTATCAGTTTAAATAAACTGATTCAATGATAATCAAAAATATCTACATCTCACTGTAAAATTTACAGTGTAAATTAATAAAATCTCAACACTAGCAGATATTCATTTGTTGTCTTCGCTTGACTACTTTATTTGGCATGTCGGTCTTTGTCTATATGAAGATCAAAATGATCATAATAAAAGTTACTAATCTACTTGAACTTTGTATGGCGAAAATTGAAAAAAAAACAATGAAACACTTGTTGCAAAGACATATTTTTAAACATTAGAAATTGAAGTTTGTAAATTGATGTATAAATTCATTTAAAAAAACAGTTGAAATCTTTTTCTCAGCTTTCTTTTTAGAGTTTATCATGAATTTTATTTCAAATAGAGCGAATACATCAAGCTGAGCTTTGTAACTATCTTGTTTTCTCTCTCTAGATTAATCCTCTTAATTGTTCCACACATATTGGATTTCCTCCTCCATTGGATTTCAACAATCGACTATCTTCACTTAGTGTCAGTTGAACCTGTTGCCCAAACACCGATAGAGATGTGCTGAAACCACTTGATGTTGTTAAACGTGGTACACGAGCATCTATTTGTAGATTCACATTGGGTGGACAGCGACCTCTAAAATAGAAACAGAGAACGTGATAAATACGAATGTTTATCAAACAATTATAAAACAGGTAATGCACAATGTCTTCGATTTATATTCGATTTCTCAAGTGTAGCTGTCGTCGTCCATCGTAATTATTTGAGTCTGAGTAAGGCGAATACTTCGTTTACATACTCAAAACGAAATCTAATGCTGGTTTCATTGAATGGATATGGTGTCGAAATATAAAACAGATTTTCAAT